ACACTAGAATATTTAAGTGAATTATGTTCTAAAACTCACAACCACATATTTCACTAAGTTACAATTGCACAGTAAAAAAGAAACTTCAAAATTTAATATTTTTTTGTTATTGACGAAACTATTTGATGGAAAATGCTACTTGCTAACATTTTGTCAATTATATTAAATTATTATCCCCATTTGTTTAAGAATGCGATATTTTGAAGGCATTAGTATTAATGCAGAATTGTTTTAGTTCGAATAAGAAATACATAGTAACTAATAAGCACTCTGTCATTGCCTGAAATTTGACCTAGAAAATCTACGTGATATACGAGTGCACCAACCCCTGTATCATCCTGTCATATATTGCACATGGTTCTAAACTTCGATAAAAAAAATATTGATGGAATTCCAGAATGCAATGAAAAAATTTATGCAATTAAACTTACGAGAGTTACACACGAGAAAGGAAACAGTTTCATTAAACTTATGAAACGTGTCGTTTTAAATTACGTCTTTTAAGCAGAAATGACTGTCAAAAATAAGGAAACAATCGATTAATGAATTGTCATAAAAAAGAGTTTTATTTTTGAGAGTATGAGTTTTAGTCAAAATAGAGTGTTTAAAAAGTTACATTTAAATTAAAATTTTTCTGAAAATCGAGCAGTTCAGTTGAATTTGCCCACTTGGGAAACGTGTTCAGATTAAACAAAACAACTCCAAGTGTATGCACCATAAAAATTTGGACAGCACAGCACACAACGTTCATAACAAAACCTGGTTTAGCCTAAAAAAAAGTAAAATTATTAGTTTCCGTTTAATGTTAAGCTTCCAAATGTTAGTATTTCGTAGAGAATACATCATTAAAATATAAGTTGCTGTATATTTTTTACCAATTAATCTTTACGATATAAGCTGAAAGCAAATTTAAATATGTTTTCTTCTTAGCGATTTTTGTTAACTGTTAGATTAGTATGTCTAATGTTAAAGCACTTTTATTTTATTTTACTCCATATCGGTAAGTTTGTTTCCTGCTTTTCTTAAATCTTTTTAACAGTTTATTCGCAGACCTGAAGAGACTTTCGAGTTCGGTCGTAGTCTCAAGTCATTATTTTTTTCATTTTCTTTGATTATTCTGAAATAGTAAATTCTTTTGACTTTTTCTGATGTTCAATTCCTGATGTGCAACTTCAATCTTGAACGGTTTTGAAGAAATTGGCAATTCGTCAACTGTCCAGTTTTAAATGCATATTAGCAGCCTAATAAACCTTCTTGATCTCCTTTCAAAATCATCTTGTACAATATTTAAACTTGAATGGTAACCAACGCGAATGCACAAAGCAACTGTATTTAAATATTCTAATTATTTTATCCCTCCTAACACCTTAATTAGTATTAAACAGTTGAAAAATCATAATTAGTACTAAAAATCAAACATTTTTACCATCTAACTGTTACCCGCGCTGAAGTACGTTGATTTCAATTTCAATTGTTTTCAAAGCATGTCCACGGTATTATCAAAGTTTTTTACGTTTTAAATTTTTGTAATTGTTCAAAATCTGTTCTACAGTCANTAATTCTGCCATCCTTAGAAAGAAGGCAGCACCATCACAGATGTTAATTTAGAGATTTGGTAGGTTTTAGTAAAGAGAGCGAGCCGCCATAAAGATATTTATGGTTTCTAAATTTGTTCAATTGTGTGCCTTGTAAGTATTAAGAACCTGAGTTATAGATAATATTTGAACTGAAAATGGCAAAAGTGCACTACTCCTTTCTTTAAGATAACAGGATTGACGCAATAAATTTTAAGTTTAACATACCATTTCCATTGTTTTCATATTACCGCTTTCAAATACGATTGCATTTGGCGGGCTTGCAACAGGAAGCATAAAAGAATAGGAGCATGCAAATGTCATGGGTAACATTATGAGTAGGGGATTCACTCGAATGGATAAAGCCTGTAAGATTGAAACAAAATTACAATATAAAACAAAGATGCTATCTACGACTTTGCAAAAAGTACCAATTGTATCGATCAAGTATTAATAATAGCATCGAACTTTTAATTAGGCATTAACTCTACCATAGTACAGGGTGAGCCAGTCAAACCTGCATTTTTGAAATGACTGTAAAAAATAAACGAATGGATATTT